AGCATATTGCAAGGGCGGCCTCACGGGCCTCCGTCGCAGTTGCAGTGATTACCCTTTGACTCTTCGATGTCTTACGGCCCTCATTCGCCAGGCATTCCCCGGTGAGGTCTTTTCTTCACTAGCTGTTTTCCACAACCATTGTGCGCCAATGCATAAAGACTGCCATAACGCACCTTTCGACAATCTGCTTGTTGCACTTTCGAAGTTTACAGGCGGCGAGGTTTGGTGCGAACGGTCGTCCGGAGATGTCCTTAGGTTGGTCAAGGGTGTCTCTCGACCTGGCGTTTTGCTTGATGTTGCAACTTCTCCACAAAGATTGCCTGCCCACACCGCCTTCCATTGCACGGAACCTTGGCAAGGTGACAGGTTGCTCTTGGTTGGATTCTCCGTGCATACATCCAGCTTATCTGCAAGCCGCCGCAGTACCTTATGCGAGCTTGGTTTCATTCTGCCGCCATCAGCGCTCTTGCTGTCGCAGCGGGGGGAAGAGATCACCGACGGCGGCATTGTGGATTTAACCCAGGAGGATCCCACTGTTAGCACCCCCCCAACAACAGCCGTTGCTGGGGGCCCCGTTCTTTGTAGCACCCCCCAGGAAGGGACCACTCCTGAGGCCTCCTCTAGCACCCCTGTTGGAGGGACCATCCAACAGGCACCTGGTAACGACAACCAACAAGACGAGGAGGAGGAGGAGGATCATGACAGTTCTGCATTTGATCCGGCTACAAGCAGATGTCGCGGCCCCGCAATCAAGTGTAGGCATTCAGCTTCATGGAGGGAACTCATTGACGGGTTCGGTCTGTGCTCGCCAGGAAGGTGGAGACCCATCGCACGCAACGCCTTATCGAGCTCAGCCGAATGGAACCATGCTGCTTCGGTACGGGACATCCTTGCTGCAGCTGTTCGTTCTAGTATCCCCGATTTGCGAAAAGCATCGTTTCTTCTTGCGACGGGCCGTTTGCCCAATTCACCGTTTCAGCAGTCGCTCGTGAACCAGGTGCGCACGGACATTTCAAAGCTTCTTCCAGACAGTGAGCTGGCAATGCAGGTTCCGAAGGGGCAGCCTTTCTCGCTCCACCTCCTCTCTCAATCACTTGAGATCCTCGGCGACTCGGACTTCGCAATCTTAGATCAGGGACCCGAGTCATTTGCCGAGGGAGTTCCATTAGGATGGGATAAGCCCCTCCCCCGTGTTCCTCAGGTGTTTCCCAGGCGCACCGTCTTCCGTAAGTTGGACGCTTCCGAGTTTGATCCTTCTATGGTTAACTACAAATCTGCCGAGCTTAACTCTGAACAGCTTGAAAAGAAATTCCGGGAAGACGAGCTTGCTGGCCTCATGATCTGCACAACTGAGGCAGAGGCCAAAAGGGAGTTTGGTGAAGATGCAGTTTTGATTGCCGCTATGGGAGCGGTGACGAAGGCGAACGGGGACGTGAGGCCGCTTCACGACGGAACTCACGGAATCAACCTTAACAACAAGATTGTCATTAATGATAAGCTTCAAGTACCAGGGCCCGAGGATTTGCAGGAAGTGGCAGCGCGGGTGAAGGAAGGGAAGGAGGCCCCTTTCTCGCTTTGCGCGGACATCAGCCAGGCACACAGGCGAGCCAAAGTACGTCGTTGTGACTGGCCTCGCATGTCATGCAAATCTTCCAGCTCATCAAGGGTCTTATGGTTAAATTGCGTAGGGACTTTCGGAATTAGTTCTGCGGCTTATCATTGGGCACGCCTTTTCGGAGCAGTCGGCAGGTGGGCATTTCGCATTTTGCATCTTGACAAATTCTACATGCTCATATACGTTGATGACCTCCATGTCATCGTGTATGGAAGCGAGAAGTACGAGACGCTTTGGGTTTTGTTTCTTGCTTTGGAGGTTGTAGGGACGCCTTTCTCCTTTCACAAGTTTAAAGGTGGTGTTGAAGTTGACTACATTGGATACCACATTAGCTACTACACGTGGTCAGCTGGGATCTCCGCAAAGCGTGCGGGCTGGATCATCGAGTGGGTCGATCAGGTGGAATCCAACAACTGGATGACTTCTGGGAGGCAGCTTGTGGAGTTCGTGGGACGGCTCAACTTCGTCACTCGGATGATCACTTGGCTTAAGCCCTTCCTCGCACCACTTTACGCTTGGAGCTCAGTGCTCAGCAGAGGGACCGTCGCGACGGCACCAGACATGGTTGTTCTTGTCTTGAGGTTCTTTCGGAGCCAGTTTGAGGCGGGAGCGCGGTTGGACTCTGTCCACATGTCCTGGCCCGGCCAGTACCGTCAAGCCTTCCGCACTGACGCGAAATGTGAATCAGGTCGCATTGTCTTAGGCGGGTGGTCACTCGAGTCTGGCAGTGACCCTCGGTCGGCCAAATGGTTCTCGCTTGAAGTTCATCCTGCCGAGCTGCCGTCTTTCTTCAAGCCAGACGGGTCTTGCGAGTGGGCCTCTACAGCTGCAGAGCTTCTTGCATCATACGCCGGACTTGTTGCTTTTGGGCATACGCGTGTTGCCAGCGGCAGGGATTCATTGAAGCTTCAGGTTTGTGCTGGCACGGACAACCGTGCCACACCTGCGATTACTTCCCGAGGCATCTCCAACAAGTGGCCTGTCCAGGCTGTCCACATGCAGGTGTCTGTCACGTTGCGCCGCGCAAACCGGATTTGCAAGTTGGAGTGGCGCCCCAGGGAAGAGAATCAAGATGCTGATGATCTTACGAACTCGCGGTTTGATAACTTTGATCTAAGTAAGAGGGTCCCCTTGGTTTTCAGTGATTTGCCTCTGGACATCTTCTCAGAGCTCCAGGCAAGTCACAGTTCATTCCTTGCGGACAAGGCAGCCCGCTTGCTGCACAAAAGGAGTGAGCCTAAAGCGAGTAAAAGACAGAAGCTTCTTGAGAAGACATCTTGGTGAAACCTTGGCACCCCTGGCGAGCACCCCTAAAGGAGGGGACACTGGTGCTCACCGAAAGGTGATGGTCGTAAGCACCACCTGGTGCCTTCTCCTTCTGGCCGGTAGGCAGAGTCGAGCGGAATCCAAGACAAGAGTGACCCAACACACGCCTTTGTAAAAAGAAGGCATCTGTCCGAGCTGTTGCACGCGGTCACGTCAGTTTGAGTGGCTTCAAGGATCTTTGCTCCTAAAACTTTTGGTGGAGTTTTCCCTAAGTGCCCCTGCCTGTTCCCTAAAGTCCGCTGCCTTTTGGTTCAAGCTTTGGGACAAGCATTTTGGGTTCCCCCAACTCGTTTGTCCCTCTGCTTGAACCTGGGCGGGTGGCTGGGGGAAAAACGCCGTGCAATTGGTTTTCTCTTGAAAGTTCACATGCTTGGTTCTCTTGAACTGCACTTGCATTGTCTCGGTTGATGCGACATTCCTTTTGGAGATTGCTGAAACTCCTTGTGCCGTCGCGGCCATTCTGGCGCGAGAAAATTTTTGGTGCCCGCCCTCTCCGCCCTAATGACCGGATGCCCGTGTCTCTTCCCGGTCCATAATCATTCTCCTAAGTGTCACTGGCATGATTTGCTCCTCACAGCAGGGGGGACACTGGTGCTCACCGAAAGGTGATGGTCGTAAGCACCACCTGGTGCCTTCTCCTTCTGGCCGGTAGGCAGAGTCGAGCGGAATCCAAGACAAGAGTGACCCAACACACGCCTTTGTAAAAAGAAGGCATCTGTCCGAGCTGTTGCACGCGGTCACGTCAGTTTGAGTGGCTTCAAGGATCTTTGCTCCTAAAACTTTTGGTGGAGTTTTCCCTAAGTGCCCCTGCCTGTTCCCTAAAGTCCGCTGCCTTTTGGTTCAAGCTTTGGGACAACCTGTATCGGACCTGCACTTTGGAGTCACCGAGGGAGGATTCATGCTGTCCTCAAGGTCCGTTAGACGGTTGCCAAAGCAATATGATTCATCCTTGTGTGCCAAGCTGCGCGACATGCCTTGGAGCCAAGCGTCTTTTCTTGCAGGCCAAGTTGGTCAAGCACGCAAGCAGAAAACGCTTCAGGGTGATGAGGATGCCGGTACTGAGCCTCAGGTTGAGCAGCAAGCCGAAGTACCTTCACAAGCAGGTGCGGCGGAGAATCCTTTGCCGTTTCCGGGTCATCTGTTGCCCGACGATGCAATGCTGCAAGAGTTTGTGCCACCGCTGCCCCGAGAGCCAGTGTTGCATTCACCTGAGCCGCCCACGCCTGTAGCGGCCACTCCAGGGCAGCAAGCAGAAACTCCGATGCAAGTTGAAACGGCCTCGCCACTTGTGTCGTTCGATGATGGGCCTGGGATTGCTTCTTCGTCCTCTGGGATAGCACGTCCTGCGACTGAGGAAGCAGGCGGGGAAGCTCCAGCCCGAAAGAAACTTCGTCTTGATGCTGTTCAGACAAGTGCATATGACTGTGAGATGTTCCATCATGATGAGGCTCCAGAGCTTCTTGATGAAAGTGCAGAGCAGTTTCTTGACTGTCAGGATGAGTCCATTTGGGACACCGAGGATTGGGCTGATGACTCAGCCAATGCACCTGACATCCCGAGTATTTTGATTAAGCCTTTCAGTGAAACTGAGCCAGTGTGCGATGCATCCGAGCTTGAAGCCATTGATGCTGCAGCAGATTCCTTTGAGCTTGAGCGGTTGACAAAAGCCGGTGTTCTTGAACAAAGTGAGTCCTGGCTTGAAGGGCATCGGACATTGTCTTCAAAGTACGTTCGCACCTGGAGGCCTAAAGTGATCAATCAGGAGCGCGTTTGGTTGCGCAGAGCCAGGTTGGTTGCGCGCGAACTTGCGCATCTAGATCCGGGCAGGCAACACTTGTTTGCACCGACGACGACCCAGTGCATGCTGAGAATTGTTCCATCGCTTTTCATTCGCAACTTTGGGGACGGTTGGTCTCTACTGAGTCTGGATGTGTCTGACGCTTTCTTGCAGTGCAAGCAACAGCATGATACCTTGACAAAAGTTGATGGAAAATGGTATAAACTTTTCCGAATGCTGCCTGGGCAACCGGACGGATCTGCTACCTGGTTTCAAGATTTTATGTGTGAAATCCGCGCAGCTGTTGCTGCTGAGCCATTGGCAGAGCAGCCAGTGTTGTTTCGCATCCCACATGCGGAAGGCAACCACAAGTGCCAAGGAGGTGGAATGGTGCATGTAGACGACATGCTTGCGGCAGGATTGACCGCACGCCTTCAGGAGCTTGAGAATCACTTGAAGTCAAAGTTCAAAGTGTCCAGTGAATGGATCCGCCAAGTCGGCGACGAGGTTTCCTTCTTGAAGCGGCGACTGATCCTAGTCAGCCCCAATTTGCTGGTTGTTGAGCCTGATATCAAATATCTTGAGAAACTCTTGAAGATCACTGGACTAGATGGTGCCAAGGAGCGGTACAAGGCGGCCCCGTTCCCGACTGGAGGCCTGCCGACAGACCTTTCATCGGACCGCGAGCTGAACTCAGAGTCAGCATCAAAGTATCGCTCAGCACTTGGTATCTTAATGTACCTTGCTTCTGACCTGTTGGCGTGTCAATTTGGGATTCGGTTCTTGTCCACACATGCTCACAAGCCTACCGAAGGCTGCTGGAAGTTACTGAGGCATCTGACTGCCTATGTGAATTGCCATAAGTCACATGTGCTTTGTTTGGCAAAACCCCAGCTTGGGCAAGGACTGATCTGCAATCGCGTGTCTGAGCAGAAAACTTCTACCCTCGAAATGTTCTCAGACAGTGACTGGTCCGGGGATAAGAAGACGCGCAAGTCCGTATCTGCATGTTGCATTCTTTGGGACGGGCAGCTGCTCCACTCGAGTAGCCAAACACAGAAAGTGATCAGTCTTTCTTCGTGCGAGGCTGAGTACAACTCCCTGGTTGCTGGTGCGGCAACTGCCATCCTCCTTAAGAATTGCGTCATACACTTGTGCCCGGAACTGCATATTGCACTAACATGCTTGTGTGACAATGCAGCAGCTAGGTCGCTTGGGAATCGCCAAGGAGTCGGACGGACTCGCCACATCGACGGAAAGCTGTTGTGGCTTCAGCAGATGACTCAGGAAAAGATGCTGGACATTTCACCGGTTGGAACCGCAGAGAATGTTGGTGACCTTCCCACGAAGCCGCTAAAGCCAGAGAGAGTTGAGTTCATCCTTGCACGGTTGAATGTTCGTGACAAGGATTGCGGCTATGCCTTGGTTGGGAACGCCCATTTGCTTGATCACAGGACGCGACATCATGTGAGTCGCATTGTGAAGCGAGGAGCAGTCAACCCACAGCTTGTGCTTCAGATCCTTGCATTGGCTTTGCAAGCAGATTCTGTCGCCAGTGCCGATGATGAGCCCAATACGCATCGCGATGACGCCTTGAGCCAGGGGACTGGCGAGCACGGTTACGGTGAGATGTTTTGGAATTTTCTTGAACAGTTGCTGTATGCGATTTTCTTGATTGCTGATTTCCTTGCAGAGCATCCCATGCCGAGTTTTATCGTGAGCCAATGCGTTATCATTGCAGTGCTGTGTGGTATCTTCTTGTGCCGTGGAAACAGGCCAGAAAGGTTGCATGAGAAGGCAAGTGAGGCAGCTGCGTGCAGCGATGGCAGCGCGCCGCAGGTGATGCCGGGTGTGTGCGTCAATGTGACAGTCGAGGGAGCCAAAGTTTCGGTTGATAGTGTAGTCCCGAAACCTGCCGAAAACCCTAATCCTTGCGCCTTGGCTAGCCCTAAGGGGCCCTAAGAGTAGTGCCGGGCCGTGCAGTGCGAGTGTGCTTGGACAGAGCAGCGGCCGAGCTGCTGATGACCATGATGCTCCCGACCCGACAGCGCGATCATCCAATGGACCTGCGGTGCAGCCAAAAGCGCCGATGCAGCCGAAAGCACCGAACCCAGCAGTTGCAGTTGCATATGCATCTGTACTTGACCAGCGTATCAGAGATGAGCTTGATCAGCAGACAGTGTGGGTGACTAAGTCGCGTGGTTATGCATACCATGGCCGCCGGAGTTGCGGCAACTTGCATAATGCCAAAGCACTTGAGCGCCTTACGCGTGGAGAGGCAGTGCGCCGAGGCTTTAAGCCATGCAAAGCTTGCTACGGTGGCTGACTTGTTATAATGCTCTTGATGCGCCAATCCTTGAGTGCGCTGCTTCGGGCAGTGCACTGATCGGTTGGATTCTTGTACAAAGGCTGCTGGCGATGATGATTGTACATAGTCTTGTGTTTGAGCAAAACATGACAGGACTTCGAAACAGCATTTTGCTGTCAATCTTGATTAACGTACGAACTACTTTGGCAGCTGTGGAGCAGCTGCGAGTCCGAAGGAGTAGGCTCACGAGCCACTCGATGCAATTAGGCATCTCAATCCTTGTGCTGATCCCTTAGGAATCATGCTTCAACGTGGTGTGGCAGCTGCGAGCTGCACTGATGCCACATGCGCCTACGCTTGGGTGAGTCAAGCTATCGTCTCGTGGGCGACGCACGCTCTCAGAGACGGTGTAACCTAGTCGTAGATGTACAGTTCTACGTAGTCGAACAACGTATCGAGCCAACGACCTTTTGGGGCAGTGCTCATGAAAAGTAGTCTGTGAGTCGAGTGCAATCTTGAACTAAGCAAGCTGTTGTTTCGTACGGGGTGAGGCAAACTAGATTATGCCGAAGACTTCAACCCGCGAGCTCAATGAAGCTTCGTAGGCGGGGTGTTTATTATTTTGCCTCCTAGGAAACCCCATGCATTTTATCATGATTTACTTTATCGTATTTCATGCACTCATGTGTTTCACATCGTGATTGCGCTATACTCCGCAGGCGTCTTTGAGGATTCAAAACATTTTCACTAAGGCAGATTCTAAGGGCGAGGGTAAGGGCCCCGGCAGTGGCAAGGGCAAGAGTGACCACGCGCTTTGGAGACATACACCTGATGGGCGTCAGATCTGTTTTCCTTACAACGCTCAGGGTTGTGACGGCAGCTGCGGGAGAGTCCATGTGTGTCGTGTCCGAGGGTGCATGCAATCCCACCCGATGTGGCAACACTTCCAGAGCTTGGCGTCGAAGGCGGCCGCACAGACCGGGCCCAGGCCACCAACTGACGTTCCGGACTCGCCGTGCTCTATCTTTTCGCTGGACGGGCACGGGGTGGAGATATCGGATCGCACTTACAGCAGCTCTGCACGTCGCGGGGACTGGATTTGTTTTTGCATGAGGTTGATTTGCTACGAGGTCCTGAACAGGATCTATCTTCGCACAGGCTTTGGGAGCGTCTCTTCAAGGAGATTTCGTCTGGAGCCTATGATGTTCTCATTTTGAGCCCGCCGTGTTCCACCTTTTCGCGGGCCAGGCATCGTTTTGCGGGGGCATTTGGCCCTCGACCACTTCGTTCACATGTCCATCTGCTGGGTTTTCCTTGGTTGCGTGATTCAGATCGCACAAAAGTGGAGCTGGCAAATTTTTTCGTGCAGCAGTCTTTTGAGGCCATCCGCTTACAGAGGCAACAGGGCTTATCCACACAGTCTCGCTCCGAGATAGTGGATTCTCTTGAGCCCGGACGAAGGCCCTCGCGTGGGCCGCCTTGGACCATTCTTGAAAATGACATGCGTTACAATTTTGCATTTTCTTCGTGTGCCCTTTTCTTGATTTCACTGAGCGACATGCATTTCCTTCCGTCTGCAGTGCGCGAATCACTCTCTTGATGATTGCAGTGCGAATGCTCAAGCTGAGCAAAAATTTTGTCGGGCTCTCTAAAGTCCCCGTAAAGTGCTGTCTAAGAGGTTCCGGGTGCTAAATCCAAGGCTTCGTAGCTCCTCGCGGCCGGGGGGGGGCGTTGCATGGTGTCAAGGACGGATCTTGAAGAGTTCAGTCGGTACATTCAGTGCTCGCTGCTCAGCTTGGTGCGTGGGGCTTCGACTGAAGCCCGCAAGGACGTCGATAGTGCTAGAGCTGACTTCATTGATGCTTTGCAGTCCCTCCGGGACGACACTCTTGAAGCCTTGACATCACTGCACGCGCGTGCAGACACCCTGCTTGAAAATCAACATAGGCTGCAGGCCCAGCTTAATATCTTGCAGCGGCGCCTCACGTTCCTTGAAGGACAGGCGGATTGCACGGACGGCCCAGATTTTCTTCACACCTTAGACTAGGCATGGAGCCGAGCGGTGCCGCAGCACCTGCCCAAGCGAAGGCTGCAAATGATCAAGGTGGGGTTGGTGAGTTCACTTTCCCGCCTTCGCCGCCTCCAGGGGTCAGCGACCTCGCAGGCGATGTGCCCTTACCTCAGGTTTTCCCAGGCTGTGGCGAATCGTCTGAAGGCAGCTTTAGTCGTGTCAGCTTTGGCAGTGAGTGTGTTGAGAACGACCTGCACTTCCCTCTGCTTGAGTTCCCAGAAGACTGGGAAGACGATGCACCCGAAATTGCCACAGCTCGGACGCCTATGGACTTGGAGTCTGTGGAGCGGTCAAACAGGGAAGTGGCAAGTCTGATGCGAGACATTTTCGGAAGCGACGATTCTCATGTCGAGAATGTGGAATCGAGGACAGCTTCGGCCTCGGCTGCGCCCTGTGAGCAGGCGGCTTCTTCGATCCCCGATCTTGACCAGGCTATGTCGATTGCACATGCAGATGCCTCTGCAGATGGGATTAGCTTAGCAGCTTCAGGAGAGTTTGTGTCGACCGCTGGTGTCGCTGATGATGCACTGGGTTCCTTTGTAGGAGGGCTCGTCAAGCAAGATGTTGCTAGATTCGGCAGACTCGACGATGGTCTTAAGCTTCCGTGGGAGAGTGAGTTCTCCAAGCTGCTTTTCGACCCAGATTGCGTGTGGGACCCGTTGCAAGGCCGAAAGCAGGACTCGATCTTTCCGCCCATCACGCATAATGCCCAGGCTGCCCATCGACCTCCAGCAGGACCCAAGGAGGCTCCTTCAGGTTCGATTTTCGCTTGGGCCATTGCGTTGGGTGCTGCAGCTCGCGATCCCGCCGCAGAGCGAGAGCGAAAGAGGGAGCAAGGGATCGGAATGTGGAGTAGGCTTGTGCTGAGGTATTCCGAGTGCTGCTCCCTTTATGAGTGTGTCTCTCAAGGATTGAGTGGCAGAGAAGCGGGCTATGAGGATGTTTTGGTGGCTGTCTCGGCCGCTGTGGGAGTGAAGTCACCGCACACCATTCACAAGCGTGCTGCATCCTTTTGGACCTTTGTTCGGTGGTTGGATGTCCACGAGCCCTTGGCCCCAAGCAGGCTGCATGAGGTGCAGGTGTGGAATTTTGTGCAGTTCCTCAAGGAAACTTCTGCGCCGGCCTCCAAGGCCGCTTCGGTCCTGAGTGCTTTCAGGCTTTCAGGTTCGCTCACTTCGTGCTGGGGTTCCGGTTGTCGGGAATCGTTGATTCAAAGAGGATTGCTGGAGCCACTGAACAACAGCTTGTCAATGTGCGCAAGCTTCGCCAGGCGAAAGATCTTACAGTCTCGCAGGTTCTTGAGCTGCACGCGAGGTTGGAGTCGGGAGCTTTGCATTGCTTTGACCGCGCACTCCTTGCGTCTCTGCTGATTAGGCTGTACGCTAGGGCTCGCCCGAGCGATTTCCTGTTCGTTGAGTCGGTCAAGGTTGACTGCCCGCCTGGAGCAGACTACCCGCTGCTAGTGTTCGAAGTCTCCCAGCACAAAGGGGCCAGGAAGGTGCAGCTTAAGACCAAGCTCTTGCCGATCTTGGTTCCCATGATAGGGGTCCATGGAAAGTGCTGGATTGACGAAGCCTTGACCGCTTTTCGGAACGCGGGGAGAAGCCTGACTTCGGTTCGGGGTCCGCTGACCTTAGCACCTGCCGACGAGTCAGGGGTCGTCTCCTCGAGGAGGTCCATCGCTTCAGCTGAAGTGGGCAAGATGTTGAGAGCCTTCTTGGGTTTGCCTGAGGAGGTCACCGATCCTTCGGCCCCCAGGGTCACTGCATATTCGCTGCGAGGCACTTGCTTGGGCTGGGGAGGTAAGTTCGGGTTCGACGAGGACCTGAAAAGCATCTTGGGGAGGCATGCTTCCTCAGTCAAGACAACGCAAGCCATCTACAGCAGAGAGCTGTCGGCGGCGCCGGTGAGGCGGCTTCAGGACATGATCAGGGAGGTTGCAGCAGGGAACTTCTTCCCTGATAACAGTCGCTCGAGTTACTGCCCGAGGCGAGCCGCTAGTGATGGGGCGCTCCCGTCCAAAGGAGCTGAGAAGCCCAATCCTGTCAAAGTTGAGGTGGTCAGCAGCGACGATTCTGAGGCAGGGAACTCTGTTTCTTCAGACAAGGAGTGCAGCGACTCTTCCCAGTCATCGCAGTCCTCCTTCTCGTCATCTGCGAGCGAGGCGGTTCAGCCTGCTGTTCACAGGTGGAAGCGAGCTAAAGTCGAGGTGCCCGACCAGGTGTGGTATGTGAACACTTCGAGTGGGGTCTTGCATCTGCTTGCTAGCCCCGATGATGTTCCGATGCTGCTCGCATGTGGGCGACCCGTAAGTGGGAACTATCGTGAGGCGACGAGGGCCGAAGTTAGTCGAGGCAAAGAGTGTCGGACCTGCCGGCGCAATGTATGATGGCCCGCGCAAAGCGCGCTTTTGGGCGAAACGATGGATGTATCATGTGCGGGAAAGAAAGCAGGGAGCGAGGTGCTCGTAGCGAAGTGCTTTGTGAGTGTGTCGAGGTTTACGCATGACATGTGTGATTCTTAGCTACTTGCTTGATTGCGCTCGAGTGTGTTCGTCTTGAGACTGTGGGCTCAAACATGACGTCCCTTGTAGAGAGTACGCACCACTTTAAGTCGCGATGTACCGAGGTGGGCCTCAGTCGCGAAAGCCTCAGGGCGCTCGCGGACCATGGGATCGATACTTTGAGCAAGCTGGCTTACTCTTGCGGTCAACCGGGCACGCCTTTGCCTCAATCTGAGTTTGATGACTTCATTTCCACGGTAATGCCGGCGGCACTCTTGGGTGAGAAAGGAAGCGTGAAGCGACTTCTTTTCGAGAGTCAGGCACTCTTGCTTAATGACCTCAGGGAACAGGTGACCCAGCCCGATAAGTGGTCTACACGTGATGTCCCGACAGTTGAGCGTCAGAAGAGGATGGAAGCAGTGCGTGCCAGCATACCGGGTGTTGTGCTTGAGGGGTCATTGGAGCCCTCCCACGGGCTCTTGAATGCAGCTTGTCGAATGGAGAGAGAGGGGCAGCTTCGCTACATAGCTCCCGAGCAGTGTGGCACTCGCATGTATGAAATTCAAAATGTCAAGGCCCAGAGTAAAGTCCTGTCTTTGGAAGAGGGCAAGTTGGCGATTTCTGAGGAGAAAGGGTTGCCCGAAGTTGCCTGCGGGTCAGCTTTGTTATTGCAGGAGGCTCTGAAGCGCCGAGGTGTGGCTCTCCAGTTCGCCGGTGTCGCCAGCTACGTGGCGCATGAACGTTATGTGCTCAAACTCTTTGGGCATATGGGGCGAGAGCCCCCGCCAGGCTATGCCAGGACCAGTGTGCACCAACTCCTTACGGCAGACAGGCAGGTTTGGACGCGAATGATCGAAAACGAAATCAGTCCGAAAAGGAGTGCAGATGGGACGTACCCTGTTGATCGGGCTTTGCTCCCCACACTTGAGACATTCGACGTCGCTGTAGCTCTCCTTCCGCGAAAGTCAGAGGAAAGCAAGAAGAGGGTCGCCACGCCCCATAAGCCCGGGGTTGAGAGGGATCCCAAAATCGCGAAGCCCCCCAAGGGCAAAGGGAAGGGCAAGAAAGGCACTTGGCAGCCCAGTGTGCCCGAGGCCATCCGTAAGCTGGGTGGAGTTGCCGAGACTCCCGATAAGAAGCGCATTTGTTTCTCCAGGAATCTGCCATGCGGCTGCACTCAGGATCCGTGCCCCAAAGGCTTGCATGTCTGTGCATTGTGCTTTGCACCTGACCATGGTCTTCAGGAGTGTCCGAAGAGAAAGAAGTGACCGCCGAAAGGTGTTCCGGAAGGTTTTGTGCCGACCGATGACAGTGGGGCCGCTGTTACATCAGTCACATCGACCTCAGCTGGAGGTCAGGACTCACCGATGCCAGATTCCATTCAGCTTGATTCGCCGGGGACAATATCCGTTGAGCCGGTGCACCCAGCTGAGCAGTTTTGTTCACAGCTTCGGGAAGGAAAGCTTGCCGATGTTTTGCAATTGATCACCCTGCTTGAGAGTGAGACCCCAGCAAGGGGTCAAGAGGCACCAAACACTTTCTCCTGGACTTCAGGAGCAAAGGCCAAAGGACCGCTGAAAGGCGTCAGGAAACACACCTCAGTTTTCCCAGCTTGTACGCGCTTGTTGTGTAAGCTTGTGCTGCAAACTTTTCCAGATGCCGACTTCACTGCTGTTGCGATTTATAAGACTTATAAGAACCTTCAGACTGCCTTGCATGTCGATGTAAATAACGAGTTGGGGTCGCAAAACTACTTGATTCCGATCACCGCATTCCAAGGTGGAGAGGTCTGGCAAAAAGGGCCTGGCAACGACATCGTGCAGGACGAGCTAGGGTTTAGCCTCTCTGGGTCCTTAGTTCGGGTTGCCGATGGGCCGTGTACCCTAAACCCCCGTGAAACCCACTGCACCATGCCTTGGACTGGCGACCGGGTGTTGCTTGTCGCCTTCAAGCCTAATCACGCTGCAAGCGTGTCTCCGGAGTACCGCCGACGCCTGCTGGAAGCAGGGTTTCCAGAGAGTGCATTCGATTCAGCGTCGTGCTCTCAGGGCCGCGACTCTACCTGCCCGCGGGGTGTGGTCCCAGCCCACTTGGATGAACTGCCTCCTAAGCCCAGCGATAATTCTGCTTGCATCCCCGATGCCGTCCGTGATCCTGTAACCTGGTGCGACCCCTTAGTCATTGAATTGTTTTCGGGGTCCGGTCGGGTAACTGCCTGTCTTAAACAGTTGGGACTGTCAGCCGTCGGTGTAGATGCTGACAAGCGCAGGTCCATCTCAACCTGCCTACAGGCCGATCTGGCCACGCCCAAAGGACAGGAGTTGTGCATGGAGTGACTCCGCCTGCTCACTTGACCGGTGCTATGGGTCAGTTCTTGGCAGCAGCCTTGCTACATGTCCTCGGCCGAGGGGCGGTCTGCGTTTTGGCCCAGGCGGGCGATGGGACGTTTTGGGCATCTGACTGCTGGACCAAGGTCTCCTCCAATTTTAGTTTTGTGTCGTGCCACGAATGCGCATATGAGGGCAACCACTTGAGTACAACCATTTTCGCTGTCACCGATCGTTCATTTTCGAAGCTTGCTAGGTTTTGCCCGGGCAGCCCGTGCAGACAGGAGCGTATGTCCGAATGCACATTGCATGGCGCCTACCCCGTGCGTCTGGCCATGCAGGTGGCTTGCTGTTTTGCTCAGCACTTCGTGCGAAAGGGCTGGCGATCGCCCCCACAATCTTTTGATGCTTTCGATCCTCGCTTGGAAGTTCCTATGTCCCGTGCTTTGGCTGGTGCCCAGCCTCGTGCCAGCAAGATACCGCCACTAGTTAGTGAGCATCAGCGGGTCATAGTCTTGCAGCACCCACCGGGGCTCGTGCTGCCCTGTCAGCCAATGCAACGACTCAGCAAGCCGTGGCCCGTGCCGCCACAGTGTGGTGCCACCTTGGCACACATCCCGGCAAAAGCTCAGCTGCTCCGGCACGTACCAATAGTCCAAGATGGGGGGAAAGAACTGGTGAAAGTTGATTCCTGGGAAATGGCATTGGGGGTTACCCTGGGAGCCTGAGCAGTTCATGCGGAAAGCGTCCGAATCATGTCACCCAAGGTCGATGGGCTCTGTGCTCCCGGCCCCCTTGAATGATACTCTTGAATCCTTGGACAAGTTGGGAGACGCCGAAGTCTCCGCTTTGAGGGCTAGGGTAATCCAGGAGTGGTTGCACTTGGCGACTTCGTTGTCATCCAATGAGGCGGAGCTGAAGGCCAGCATGCACCCTGATGTTCGTGAGATTACAGCATCCAAACGCATCCTTTTGTGGGAAGCTTTGCTTAAGAAATATGATTACCCAGACCTGTGTGTGTCGAGCCTTCTCAAGGAAGGCGTCCCGTTGGTGGGGCATGCGCCCATTTCGGGAGTCTTTAAACCAAAGTTCAAGCCCATGCAAGCCACGCCGAAGCAGGTAAGGGAGGACTCAAAAGTTTTTCGGGAAAAAGGTTAAAAATTCCCTTAAGGCCCAGGATCCCGCCTTGGCAGCCGAAGTTTGCACCAAGACTGAGAAGGAGCTAGAAGCAGGATGGATCGTTGGTCCCATGTGCGAGTCCAGCTTGTGCGATGGGATCTTGGTTAGCCGTCGGTTTGGAATCCAGCAAGGTCAGAAGGTCAGGTGCATTGACAATTTGACTTCGTCGGGGGTGAACCTCGCAGTGCAGGCATATGAGGCTCCGCAACCTCAATCTACTGATGTGGTTGCATCCACGTGTCTTCGACTGCTGAAATCCATCAAAAAGAGGGCAGGCAAAGTCTTGTTCAAAATCTTAGGCAAGGCGTTCGATCTTACTGCAGCTTACCGGCAGATGCCAGTCCACCCAGACACGGCCTGGGCAGCGTACATCTGCTTCGTGCATCCAGACACGAATGAGCGGGTGTACTTTAGGATGAAAGCCATGCCCTTCGGATCGGCAATGGCAGTCTACCCTTTCCTTAGGATTAGTCATTCCTTGTGGTTCCTCGGTGCAAAGGCATTGCTCTTGCCTTGGTTGTCGTTCTTCGACGATTTCGTCACTTTTGCGACGACAGGGTGCTCTGCGTCGGCAGAGGCGTCAGTGACGGCAATGTTCAAACTCCTAGGTTGGGCGTTTGCCGAGTCCGGTGAAAAATCGAATGACTTTGCTGAGTGTTTCCAGGCGCTTGGTATCATGGTTGATTTGCATGCATGCCTTGATGGCACCATAAGCTTCAAGAACACTGCAAAGCGGGTTTCCGAGATCAAGGCGTTCGTGGGCAAAGTGCTTGAGTCAGGTAGGTTGCCGCATCACGAGGCACTCAGGCTCAGAGGCAGGTGCCAGTTTGCCGACTCGCAAATCTTCGGCCGTACTGGAAAGAAGTGTTTGGGGTTGATCACCACGCATGCTTACGGCTTTGACGAGGTCATCAGTCGTGAACTCAGGACCTCTCTCGAGAGGTTCTTGCTTCGTCTCGAGGACGGGGCCCCGCGTCTGATCAAGATCCTTGAGGGAGGATCGTGGCATGTGTACACAGATGCTTCGTATGAACCAGGGGCAGGAAATAGTTTCTGCGGCCTAGGTGGGGTTTTAGTGGATCCTAATGGGTTACCTCGAAAATTCTTTTCATTCGTTTTGAGCGAAGCACAGAACAATTTTCTTGGTGAGCAGAATTCTGCCCAGATCATATTCCAGGCGGAGATGCTAGCAATGGCTGTGGCGCTAGACGTTTGGTTGGAGGACTTGACGGGGCACACGGCTAGCTCAGCGATCATTCCTTGGTTCGCCAGGGTACCATTCCCTTCGAACCCGGCGGACGAACCGTCCCGGGTGGAGTGCGACAGCTTGAACTTGTTGGGGGTGCAACTCCTCAGGTCGAATGTCTCTCGGAGAGTGGACAACTGCTTGAAGGACGTTCAGGGCCTTAAGTAATAGGACTAAGTTGGGGGTGACTGCTAGCAGGGCCCCTCGCTGAGGGCTGCAACTCCCTGCTGTAGTTAGGTATAGTCTTGTGCCAAAGGGCATGCACCGTGGATACGAAGATGTGCCGACCGGCACTCGCAGATCATTTACTCCCAAAGTCACCGAAGGAAAAAGTCCGACGTTCATCAGTGCTTCAGTGTGCCGTTTCGCTTAACCTTGCAGCTCAGTTCGGTGTTCCTAAACCTTTCAGCTTACTGTGCGACTCAAGTTTTGCGACCTTTAACTTTTGCAGCTGTTTGGTCCAAGTCGTTCGGCTCAAGAGAACCACACAGTCTCGCTCCGAGATAGTGGATTCTCTTGAGCCCGGACGAAGGCCCTCGCGTGGGCCGCCTTGGACCATTCTTGAAAATGACATGCGTTACAATTTTGCATTTTCTTCGTGTGCCCTTTTCTTGATTTCACTGAGCGACATGCATTTCCTTCCGTCTGCAGTGCGCGAATCACTCTCTTGATGATTGCAGTGCGAATGCTCAAGCTGAGCAAAAATCTTGTCCCGCCCACCCGCCCGGGGTGACTGCTAGCAGGGCCCCTCGCTGAGGGCTGCAACTCCCTGCTGTAGTTAGGTATAGTCTTGTGCCAAAGGGCATGCACCGTGGATACGAAGATGTGCCGACCGGCGCTCGCAGATCATTTACTCCCCGTGGATACGAAGATGTGCCGACCGGCACTCGCAGATCATTTACTCCCAAAGTCACCGAAGGAAAAAGTCCGACGTTCATCAGTGCTTCAGTGTTTATTATTTTGCCTCCTAGGAAACCCCATGCATTTTATCATGATTTACTTTATCGTATTTCATGCACTCATGTGTTTCACATCGTGATTGCGCTATACTCCGCAGGCGTCTTTGAGGATTCAAAACATTTTCATGGTAGCGGAGCTTGGGAAAGCCCAAGCTTCGAGACACGTCTCGGGGCTCTCTTGCACATTGCGTTGCGAAGTGCGTTCGGGGAGCTCAGGCGTTGGAAAGTTTGTCCTGGACCTTTGGGGATTTCTGTTTCCGTTTAGGATCTAGGTAGGATCGCAATCCCGGCGCAGACCGGACGAGCCATTGCGTGCTCAGACAGAGCAAGGCCACGGCGTCTCTTGCTGCAGTAGAGGAGGTGAAGGAAAGGTTGCACAGCCTGTACGTTGAGCAGCTTTGTGAACGGCCCCGTCCCGAGGGCAGATCCGGTTCTTCTTGGGATAAGATCTTGTCAACCTATAGGGTAGCCTTTGAGCGGAGACTTGAAGAGTTGCATACGGTTGAGTGCGTGTGGAATTTTGCGAGCAAGTGTCTGAAGAAACAGCATTTGAGAGAAGTTTTTGAGGCATTCGCACCTGAAGACGTTGCTGAGAATTGCATTTCAGAGGAGTTGCAACAAGCTTCGTTACACCCGGTCGAGGAAGGCCCCAACTTCGAGCGCGATCTTCTTGCGAGCAGTGTTGAGTTGCAGGAGCTTTTGAGAGCAAGTGCTGATTGTGAGCTGCCAAGTTCTTCAGCACTGCCAAAGCGTGCATTCAAGCGCCGATTGCAGCAGCAGAGTTCTGTGATTGATTTGGATTAATTTCCTTGATTTCTTGATCAGACAGAGAAGAGATGGACCATCAAGGGCAGAATGTTCAGCAGGGGCCGCAGTTGCCCCAGCAGCCCCTAGGGAGTGCAGGAGTTGAGCCGCCAGTGGCCCAGAACCCGTTCTCTCCAGGTGGGCAAGCACAGCAGCCAGCGCCACAGCTGGTGCAGATTGACATGACACAGATGCAATTGCTTATGGCACAGATGGTTGAGACGGCGCAAGCAGCGTCGCAGGCTGCTCAAGCAGCCGTTGCCCGGCCCTCGAGCAATTTGCCTATTTTGAAACTTGTTTCATTCGGCTTTATAGCTCAAGCTATGTTTCAAATGCGACGTTGCTTTTGAAACTCGCTTTTCGCACAACCTTCTTTGAACCTGGGGGGGCAAACAACTGACTTTTAACTTTTTGTTTTGCCGCGAACTCTCGTCCTGATGCGAGCCTTGATGTTGATCCTGTTAATGACCTCACGTCCGGCAGTCATTTGTGGATCGAGTTCGCCATCGGGCGAGATTCGAAATTTTTGTTGGGGCTCTCTAAAGGCCTGTAGTGCTTGCTAGCAGCCCCCAGGTGCTAACCCAAGGCTGGGCCTAGCCCTCCGTGCAAGACTGCCGCTGTGCGGCGGTCGGATGGACTTTGGCGACGCTTTGTCTGCAGGTTCTAGTCAGCGCGGTGCAAGTGACTCCCCTAGCACTGTGAGCGAAATCAGCAGGCATCTTTACGAGCTTCAGCTTCAGGTCAATACTCTTGAGGCCCACGTGAGAGCTTGTGAAAGGCGAATCAGGCATTTGGAACAGCAGCTTCCTTCCTCGCGAGTCTCCGACTCCGAGAGCACGTGGGCCGCTTCTCTTTTCGGTTCGTTTCTCACTTGCCTGACGCGTCGCTAGCTTGCAGCCTGAGTCTCAGCCTACCTGCTTCATTCTGCCGAGTGATTTGGGGAGTAAGCTGTCATCATGAAGAGGTCGGCCGACCACGCATATGAACAACATCTTGATGAGGTGCTCAGAGGTCCTAAGAGCCGGTTCGTGCAGCCCTGGGAAAGGTCACCTGTGCTTCAGCCTTTCAGGTTGTTTCCGCAGCTTCCCAGGCATCAGCAGGTGGCGGTTGCCGCGCCGCTCGTACCGACGACCGGGCCAGCCACTCCACCCAAGGGTGCTGGCCAAAGTTCCATGTCACATGTCGGGCCCAAAGCAAAGACTCTTGGAAAGTCCTGGAAAGCCAAGATGTCTGACAACAGGCTTGCTGCGCTTGTAAAGTGGGAAAGGATTGTGGAAGCTCACTCCGAGCATTTTGGCTTTGTCGCCGAAGCCCGCCGTGAGCCTGAGCTGGCTTCGTACTCCTTGCATGATGTCTTGAGTGATATTTTCTCGGTGAAAGCCAGCACCACTTTGCACACCCGGTCAGGTCCCCTGCTTAGGTTCCTTAAGTTCTGTCACGACGAAAAGCAAGCCCCTTTCCCTCTTCGCGAGAGCTTGATTTACTACTTCCTCAAGCAGTATGGTGCTAAGCAGGCCCCCACGTTTGCCAGCAGCTTTCTGGGGTCACTGGCGTTTTGCCACCACTTGTTAGGCCTTAAGTGCCAGGACGAGATTTTCTCCACCAGGGTTACGGGTGCAGCCCGAAGCCTTTTCCTTGAAAAGAGAAAGCTTGTGCAGAAGCCCCCTCTTCTGGCTGCCTTCGTTCTTGCCTTGGAAAATATCGTTCTCGGACAGGGTGATTTCAGCTGGGCGGACAGGTACGCTGCCGGATGCTGCCTTTTTGCAATCTATGCCCGTGCGAGGTTCAGTGACATGCAGTCTTGTGGAAACATCTTTGAGGATATTGCCTACATTGATGGCAAGCCTCATGGATTCTTGCAAGCCGACATCACCAGGACGAAAACTGCATACACCTTGGAGAGAAAAACCAAGTACTTGGCTATGTGCGCTCCGATTTGGGGCTTGGCGGAGAAGCCGTGGGCAATCGCTTGGAGGGCTATCGCTAAGGATCACGGCCCCCCCTGCGGGGAAGACTTGCCACTGTTGCCCTCTCCTATGGAGAGTGGGGGATGGCAGGAGACACCTGTCAGTGTTGAGGTTGGAGCCCGCTGGCTCCGCAGCCTCCTGCATCGCATGGGACTCGAACCTGCTTCCGCGGTTAGGCTTCTAGGGACCCACTCGATGAAAGCAACGGTTTTAAGCTGGGCTGCGAAGTGGGGCATGTCTAAAGAAATTCGGATGATCTTGGGGTACCACAGCTCCTCTAGATCCGATAGCGACGTGGTCTACGGCAGAGACAACGTAGCCCCCGCGCTGCGAGAGCTAGTTTCTATGCCGTCGATTCAGTCGTGGGCCTTTGGGAGCCCTCGGAAGGGGTCCGTGAGACTCTTGAAAGGGCTCCTGTCTTCAGGCATGAGGTAACAAGGTTCCTTCACATTGTGGCGTCTGAGGAAGGGTCTCATTTCAAGTGCGGGAGAAAGATCTCGGCCTCTTATGTTCGCTGTGAGAACTTGCCGAAAGTTTTGTTTCCAGTTTGCAAGCAGTGCTGTCCCGACGTGAAATCGGTCGAGGCGGGCACTGATGCGGGATAGTCTTTTGCTGTCGCAAGGGCGACACAACGAGGGGCGATTTTGTGTGCTTAAAGAGTTGGTTGCTCGCTTTCATGACGGTTCCAGTCTCTTTACAGGAGGGGCGAATGATTCAAGTTGAACAGTCCATGCTGAGGTCATTGCACATGCTTAGGCCTGGGCTTCTGCCCCCCTTTGGAGACCTGGTAGAGTGCTTTGAGGGATCAGATGCGGGGGCAAGTGTTCTTGTGAATGCTCCTTCGGAAATGTGTCTCAAGGCGCCAACTGGCGGAGGCAGCAACATGGCCGCTTCTTACTCAGATAGCCGTAGTGTTTTCGATGCCAGGGTAGACGCATGTGGACTACCGAAGGAAGATGCTGCGAAGGTCAAAGCGGCGGTGGCTTCACTTCGGCAACTCGCCTTCATATCCAGCTTTACTCCGGGTCAAGCGGATGAGGCCCCACTTATGGCTGCTCTGAAGTCGATGTTGGGCCGTGATGCTGAATTGGCTGTCCAAGCTAGCTTCAGGGCATTGTACCACGAGGCTTATGCTATTGTTACTTCAGAGATGCGCCAAAAGATCGAGAAGAGTGAAGAGCCCACGGCGAGAAGGCTCACCCAGCCCGAGCGTGCCGAGAGGCATGAGAAGCAGGTCGCGAAGCTCGTGGGTGTACTTATCATGGGCCCTTCGGAGCCCAGCGAAGCACTCGTCGACAAGGCCGTTTCAGCCTATGAGCAAAATGAGCTGAGGTACATCTCTTGGGAGTCTTGCACCTCCCGGGAGCAAGAAGTTGCTTCGGAACGCAAGAAGGATACTCGCTTTACGATCGATGAGCATTCCGGGAAGCTTAAAGTTGAGAATAAAGATGCTGAGGACAAGGCCTCCACTGCTTCGGAGGTCCATGTGCTTCAGGCTTTGCAGAGGCGATCGCTTGCCCTGGATCAGGCAAATCTTGTAGAGTACACCCTGATGCAACAGTGGTCGGACCGCCTGTTGCGAGCCAGGATGGACGATCCACCGCCCCAGTACAGCCGTCCGTCTTGGAGCCAGCTTGTGGCTGCAGACAAGAAGCTCTTCAGTGAGCTGAGGGATCTGACGCGAGACGGCGTTCAGTCATCAAGTGGTGGGGCGCGCCCGCTTGACAAGCACCTCCCTGCTGTGATGATGTCGTATGATGTGGTCTGCTTGCTACAGCCCATGCCTCAGTCGGCCAGCGGGCGGAGCTCCGATGATTCCGGCAAGGAGCGCCCCGCTCCCTACACTCCCAAGGGTCCTAGAAAGGGCGCTGGGAAAGGCAAAGAGGGCAAGGGAAAGGGACGCATGCCTGCACAGCTTATCGCTTGGGGCTGCACGTCGAGTACCAAGAAAGGAAATCCTTACTGTTATGGGTTTCAGCTTGGCAACTGCACAAATGCTGTGACCAACAATGCCTGTGTGAGAGGCTTGCATGCTTGTGCCATCCCGAAGTGCGGGCAGCACGGGCACGGGGCCTCCGCGTGCCCGAAGAGGAAGCAAGAGTGACGGTGCCAGGCGAGCACAACGACGAATGATTCGTCAGAGTCAATCGGTCGTGTGGCCGGTGTTGGCCAGTCAGGAAATGATTCGGATGCCCAAGCCAGTCAGAGCTTGGGACCGGAACAATTCCTCGGCGGATCATCTTTCGAGGCGGATGCATGCGGGCAACCAGCTTCAAGTTCTCCTCAGCACGATAAATTTTCCACGATTCTTCAACAGTGCCTGAGCTTTTTCGACAGCCTCCCGCACGAGTCAGTTGGGACCAAGACCGAATCTCATCGTGACCAGGTTGGGAAGGCTTTCTACAGCGGGATGTATTCTAAGGGTGTCGTAGGGCTGCGGACTTCGGTCCACCGGCACCCCGAGGAGGTGAAAGTTCTGACTTCGTTGATTCGTGCCGTCGAGCCAACGATGCTTTTCTCCAGTTTGGTCGTCACCGAGGATTCTCAGGTTGGTGTCCACAAAGATGCTCAGAACGCCTGCATCCAGAACTTGGTCATCCCGATGACTCGTTTTGGGGGAGGCGAGCTGCTTCTAGAGAGGATCCCAAGGGTTCCTTGGTTCAGAGGGGTGAAATTTCTTTTAGGGCTCGCGCCGTGTCCTTGGATCAGGGACCCATTGCATTCGATGCCCGCTCTGTTAGGCATTCCGTAAACCCTTCTCGCGGTCGGCGCGTTGTCCTGATCGCGTACTGCTTGAAAGGCTCGGACCGCCTTGCAACAAAAGATTCCCATTTGCTACGCAGTCTGGGATTCGCACTGCCGGAGCAGGAGCCCGCCGAGGTTCCTCTCCCCGCTTTCACAGTTGGTTTTCCTGATTTTAGGCCCGCTCTAGGGTTTAGTCCCCCCGGCCCTAGTGCACAGTCTAGGGGTTTGTCTTCGGTTAAAGCTTGCCCTTGGTTGTGCCTAGAGCTGTTTGCCGAAACTGGCAATATGACTTCTGCTTTGCGGGGCTTCGGGTTCCAAGCCCTTCCCTTGGGGCGCCGTGCAAAGGGGCCTATACACGTGACCCCGCTGGACCTCTCTCGCGCCCTGTCGTGGCAGTACGTGAAGAGGCTTGTACAAGCCGGGGATGTGTTTGTGGTGCATCTTTCCCCACCTGCTCGCGGCCCATTTGCCGATGCAGTGGCACCACTCGTCGCTGACTTCTGCCGTTGGCTCCGCTCCGAATTTCCTTCTGTGCACCTCTCAGTTGTGTGCCCCGCCTCCGCGGCGCTTTGGAAACAGTCTGGCTTGCTGGATCTTCAGCGGTCTTGCATTCAGGTCTCCTTTACTGCCGCCGACTGCAGTCCCGGGCCACATGAGAACTTTCTCTTGATGTCTTCACTTCCCGAGCTTCGGGTTTTTGAAACTCCGGCCGATGCCTCAAAGATCTCCTCCGGGGGCCCGGTTCGCGCGGCTCCTGTCGCTGCGCCCTCGTTCGTGCATACGAACCACTTTTGTACTAAATTTGCATCTGCCCTCGCCCTGGCCGCCGGTCAACTTGACACTGTACCGACACCAGCCCTTGTTACCAATGCGTCGGCCCGTGCCGCCAATCAGCTCCAGCCGCGTGTTTCAAGGGCCGTCGTGCTGGTCGAGGAATACCATTATCAAGTTACCGTGCCCGCGCCTTCGGGCGCCCTGCCCGCTCTTGACCCTAAAAATTGCCTCGTGGAGGCATTAGGCCCCGTGCCTGCCGGCTCTCGGGTTCTTAGGGTTAATTTTGAGGCGGGTGTAGTTTTCCCTAAGCGCCCTAGACCCGACCGGAAGGTTTCCTCTCAGCTGTCTGACTTGGGAATCGGAAAATTGGTTTCCATCACGTGTGGAGTCTACCGAAGCCCTCTTCAGTTTGCGGAACGAGCTTTGAATGTTGGCCATCCTTGTGACATGTGCAGAGCACTGCCCGATCAAGCTATGGTCGTCCTGGGCCATCTGCTCATCGAGGGTCCTGTTAAGGTCCTCAGACGGAGATTGGATACGATAACCCAGTCGAAAGCTTGGGCCGCCGAACTGGAACCGGCCGAGGCTGAACTGCACAAATCCTTGCCCCCTTCTGTGGCCGAAGTGGTCAAGGGAAAGCGCCTGCTCCTCCTTGATCGCATTGCCAAATCCCTGCAATGGCCTGACACCCGCTTGCACCAGGATATGACCAGTGGCTTTAAGATCGTGGGCGAGGAGTTCCCGAGCGGAATTTTCCCCCTTGAGCCTCGACCAGCGACCCTCACGCCTGAGGAGTTACTGGCTCAGTCTCGGTCAACCAAGCCCTTGATCTGGGAACAGGTCAACGATGCTCCGCTGGATGCGAGAATACCGCGAGAAGGGATGGCTCGAGCAACCTCGCTCTTGGGAGGAACTTGAGCTCTTGTTCGGGGATTGGCTCCCGGCCAAAAGGTTTGGTGTACGCCAACGCGACAAGTTGCGCCCCATCGACGACTTAGCTGCCAACGGTGCAAACAGCGCATTTGCCGCTTGTGACAAGCTCACCTTGCGTGCCTTCGACGAGCTTGTTTGGTGTGCCACTTACATCATGCGGGTACTTGTGCAAAAAGGAACCGTCCACCTTGTCCTCTCCTGTGGTCGGGTGATCTCGGGACCCCTGCACGACTTCTGGAGGATCAAGACCGACCGCGCCCGCCCCTTGTTGAAAACTATCGACTTGAAGGCGGCGTATAAACAGCTACCGCTCCACCCAGAGCATCGCAGGTTTTGTGTGGTCGCATTGAAACATCCGGACAGCGGCCAAGTGCGGGGCTACGCATCAAGAGTCCTGCCCTTCGGGGCCTCGGGGAGCGTGACTTGCTTTAACAGGGTTGCACGCCTGATCCAACGGATTCTTCAGGAAGCCTGGATCTTGAATTGTAACTATTTTGATGATTTTCCGGTGTTGGAGTTATCCGCCCTGTCGGGGAGCGCCGACTCCACTGCTCATTGCATACTTGACCTACTCGGTTTCGGGTGCTCTACCGATAAGGAAGAGCCGTTCAAGAGCAGTGCCGACGTCTTGGGAGTCACGGTAGACCTCTCTTGTGAAGACTTGTCCGAGGTGCGTGTGCGCAACCGGGAGGTAAAGTGCTGCGAGGTGGCGGCCTCGGTCGATGAGGTTCTTGATAGGGGCGCCATCCGGTCCGCGGAAATCGCTTCTCTCTTTGGGAGGATTCAGTTTCTTGAAGGGCAACTCATGGGACGCATGGGGCGACTGGCTTTGTCTGAGCTTCGCTCCCTCGGGACTTCCGGGGGAATCCTCAAGCTCGGGGACTCGGAACGGCATGCCTTCCAGAATCTTCGTGAGCGGTTGCTTCATGGGCCGCCCCGGGCGATCTCCGCTCGCCCACCTGGGGCGAATGTTATTGTGTTTACAGACGGAGCTTGCGAACCGGAGGGTGATAGCATGCTGTGCTCCATCGGTGGGGTGCTGTATGTTGAGAGCTCCGGCAAGTGGGCCACTCGATACTTTGGCTGCCGACTGCCCGATTCGCTCGTTAAGGCTTGGAGTGCTTCTGGGAAGAAACACTTGATAGGTCCTGTTGAGTTGTACGCAGTGGCCACGGCAAGACTGTTGTGGCGAGAGTATCTTGATTTCGCCAAAGGCATTTTCTTCATCGACCACGCCGGTGTGCACGCCGCGTGCGTCAATGGATCGTCCCACGATCGCCTCTGGCGGCTCATCCTTTTGAAGCTTGAGGAAGCGGATGCCAAACCTATGATCGCCTGGTATGCCCGTGTTCCCAGCCAAAGCAATCCTGCAGACCCTCCGTCTAGGGGGTCCGACCTTTTCCCAGTTTGGGGCACATGCTCGAGGGATCATCCGAAGTGCTGCATATCCGGCGAGCTCTTGAGTTCGTTTGGTGAGACGGGAGTTTGTTGAACGAGCTCAATCCTCGTGAATGATGCTCGATCGGCTGTCTCTCGAGTGTCGGATCTTTCCCGAATCGGCTGTGCCGCCTTTCAAGAAAAAAGAGTGAGTCCGATTGCATGTGCGTTCTGCAATGCTGCATTTGTCTGCACATTCATATTCTCGTGCAATATATGTTTGATTGATTGATTTGAGAATGACTCTTTTCAATATTATATTCTTGCGAAAAGTAGCTTTAGCTATAAGCCTATTTTGAAACTTGTTTCATTCGGCTTTATAGCTCAAGCTATGTTTCAAATGCGACGTTGCTTTTGAAACTCGCTTTTCGCACAACCTTCTTTGAACCTGGGGGGGCAAACAACTGACTTTTAACTTTTTGTCTTGCCGCGAACTCTCGTCCTGATGCGAGCCTTGATGTTGATCCTGTTAATGACCTCACGTCCGGCAGTCATTTGTGGATCGAGTTCGCCATCGGGCGAGATTCGAAATTTTTGTCCCACCCAACCCACCCGGGAGTTTGTTGAACGAGCTCAATCCTCGTGAATGATGCTCGATCGGCTGTCTCTCGAGTGTCGGATCTTTCCCGAATCGGCTGTGCCGCCTTTCAAGAAAAAAGAGTGAGTCCGATTGCATGTGCGTTCTGCAATGCTGCATTTGTCTGCACATTTATATTCTCGTGCAATATATGTTTGATTGATTGATTTGAGAATGACTCTTTTCAATATTATATTATTGCGAAAAGTAGCTTTAGCTATAAGACTTCAGGATTTTCAGATGCGAATAAGATCCTTAATCGACCGTCGGAGTTTGGGTCCGGAGTGCACGACAACGACCTTGCAAATTGGTCTGAATGGAGCCACTCATTCAGAACATGGTTGGTTTTCGCAGAAAGTCAGTTCGAACAGGACTTAAAGCTTGTGGAGGATAACTTGCAGGGCCCTGTTGATCTGACTGGGGCTTCGCCTGATCGCATTGCAAGGTCTCAGAGGCTTTACGCGATCCTTGCAAGCATTCTGCGTTCGAAGCCAAAAGCGATCTTGCGTCAGGTCGTCAACAGAAACGGCCTAGAAGTCTGGCGGGTGCTCACCAATACCTTCGCACCCAAATCGAAATTCAGAGGACTCGCTCTCTTGAACGCTCTTATGACGCTCCCGAGCTTCGGGAAAGATCGCAGCCTGCGAGAACACATCCAAGGCCTCGAGAGAATAGCTGAAGAATATCAAAGGGTCACTGGACAATATCCTGGGGAAGAGGTCATGCTAGGCACACTAGTTCGGTCCCTTCCCTCTGCGATAAAACAACACGTTCAACTTCAGATGACAGACTCCAGTAGTTACCAAAGCATCAGGGACTACGTTCTGGGGTATGAAGTTACGACAACGTCTTGGACTCCAGCCAAAATGCACCAAGCTCTTGGTGTAGTGCCTTTACCCAGTGCTGTCGAGCAAGGCCCAGTCCCGATGGAGGTTGATGCACTTCAAAGAAAAGGGCCAAAAGGCAAGGGCAAGAAGGGCAAAGAGCAGAAAGGCAAAGGTGGACAGCAACCGCAGAATCCGTATGGTGGCAAGGGCAAGGCCAAAGAAGGCAAGCAAAAGGGCAAGAAGGGCAAGGAGCACAAAGGCAAAGGTGGACAGCAGCCGCAGGGTGCCAAGGGCTCTAGGGCAAATGTAGTGTGCCACAATTGCCAGCGCAAGGGTCATTATGCTAGTGAGTGCTGGCGTCCACGTGTGCAGCAAGTCCAGGCACAGGGTTCGGACACAGCGTCCACTGTTGCGCCTAGCACTGTTGGTCCTTCAGCATCGCAAGTCGCTGGCAGCGCTGCTACCACCACGAAGCGCGTTGCTAGAGTTGAGATAGACATGACTTCCAGTGCGTTTCAGGACGATGCCGAGATCAGCGGTCACTTGTGTGTTTTGACAAAAGTGTGTCCTGAGGACCCAGCTGCAGCTACTGCCCAGCCGAGTTTTGCTTCACTGTGCAAGTCTTTGGCGTCTGCATGCGTTGACCCTGTGAAGCCACATGTACTTGTGCCAGTGCCCGAGGCTGAAATGTTTGACATGTCATATTCGGACGGTGATTGTGTCTGGACAGTGCCAGACGAGATGCATGGAGCCACATGTGTTGGTTGGTTGAGCAGTGCACGTGATTCTGAGTATGTGAAGTGCAAGGCGCCAGCCCGCAACCGTGCAAGGCCAGGCAGGCGATCACGGCCGCCACTGCAGTGCGAGGCAATGTTGCATCCATGTGAAGCCGCTGCCGAGCACCTTGTGACCCCACCTGTGCATCCCCTTCGGAACCTCAGTGTGTGTGCAGTGTCATGGGCAGACATGAGCAACGAGATTGAGGTTGTGGTCGACTCTGGGTCGGATGCCTCATGCTTGCCGCTGTCCTGGGCACACGTCGGAAGGGCTGATGGAGCAAGCCTTGATAGTTTCAGGGATGCCCAGGGTCGCATGATTAGGGGTTCGCAAATGCGTACGGCAGTGCTTCAGATTGACGGTGTTCAATTTAAGGAGCGGTGGCTGTTGAGCAGTGTGACACAGCCGCTTTTCAGTGTCGGCAAGTTGCCCAGGCGGGGATGGGACATCATCCACAGTGACGGTGTTCCTTACTTGACAAATCCTGGGGGCACAGTGCGCGTGCCTATGCACTACCGGCACAATTCCTTGCATGCGCGAGGCTCCATCATGAGCGTGGTAGTGTGTGCCAACGACTGTTTGAGCGATGACAGAGAGGACGATGCGGCCCGACACCACGAGCCTCAGGAAGCCGAGCTTGATGATGAGCAAGTGCGCGGCAACGACCAGCAGGTCGAGGTGTGCCGGAGTGCTGAAGCAGACAGCCCTGTTGCGGCTGCGGTGCGTGCGCTTAAGCTTGGCAGTGCATGGCTGAACCTGGGTAGCCAATACACCGAGATGCAGCCTGGAATCTTTGCTAGGCAAGATCAGTCGGATCGGTTTCTTGATGTGTCAGTGCCTTTGAGCCACCATGGAGTGGGCTTCCGCACTACCCTTCAGTATGACGGTGCCGAATGGAAACTGATTGAAATCAACTGCTTGATCAGCCTCTTCGATGATCTTGAGAAGGAGTTCGAGCCGAAAGGATCCCGCCACATCATCACCATTGGCTCTGTTGACCCCTTGCAAGTAGAAAAGCTGTTTGATCATCAGCCTGTAGCGTGGAACGATGAGAGTTATGACGGTGAGTATGCTGATGCACCGCCTGATGAAAACATGCTTGAAGAGGATGAAAAGGCTGAAGATGTTGATGAAGGTGCCGGTGTAGGACCCGTGTCCCTCGCCGAAGTTCCTTCGCAGGGTCATGTTGTGGTCAATGGGGTTGAACTGCATCCCGGGTGTACCCTTAAGACCCTAAGGTCGGCCTGTGAGGTTCTTGGAATAGGCAAGTCCGGAGGAAAGCAGACGGTCTTTGCGAGGATCGAGCAACACTTGAAAACCCAGGAGTTGCTGCAACAACATTCTTTTCAGACTGATGGTGTGCCATTGCCGCTTGAACAAAAGTTTGTCGAAGAGCCAACTGCAGAGCAGAAGCGACGGCACGAGCTCAGTCATGTGCCGTATGCCGATTGGTGCCCACACTGTGTAAAGTTCCGCGCCAAAGCCGACAAACATGTGTCGAGCAAACCTGAGCTGCGGGACGATTCGGTGTGCAGCTTCGATTTTGCTTATACAGGACGGAGCAGCCCAGCTGAGTTTGAAGGTGCGTCAAAGGACAAGCTTGTTTGCCTTGTGATCAAGGACTCCCACACTGGAGCGATGCATGCTGTGCCAACGCCAGCCAAGGGCGGACCGGTTGCTTTCAAGTATCTTGTTGCCGAAGTTTGTCGGTTCTTGAATTACTGTGGGCATGAGTCCGTCACGATCAGGTCTGACGGTGAGCCAGCTTGCTTAGCACTTCAGCAGGGCATCAAAGCTTTTAGGACCAAGATGGGGTTACGCACCCACTTGGAACAGACCGAGCCAGGTGACCACCAGTCAAATCCGTCGGAACAGGCCATTGATAGCATCCGGCAGCTTGCAGGATGCATTCTTGACCAGTTTGAGGAGCGTGCCCAGACAACTGTAGGTGCAATGCACCCACTGCACGGCTATGCTTGGAGACCCGCGGCATGGCTTCACATGCGAATGTCGCGGCACAACGACCTCAGTGCGTTTCAGGTGATCAATGGCCGGCCGTATGCAGGGAAACTCGTTTGTTTTGGAGAAAATGTTTACGCCAGAGTCAAGAGCAGTGTAAAAGGAAAAGCACGCTGGTGCAAAATGCTTTGGCTTGGAAAACTTCCTGTATCGGACCTGCACTTTGGAGTCACCGAGGGAGGATTCATGCTGTCCTCAAGGTCCGTTAGACGGTTGCCAAAGCAATATGATTCATCCTTGTGTGCCAAGCTGCGCGACATGCCTTGGAGCCAAGCGTCTTTTCTTGCAGGCCAAGTTGGTCAAGCACGCAAGCAGAAAACGCTTCAGGGTGATGAGGATGCCGGTACTGAGCCTCAGGTTGAGCAGCAAGCCGAAGTACCTTCACAAGCAGGTGCGGCGGAGAATCCTTTGCCGTTTCCGGGTCATCTGTTGCCCGACGATGCAATGCTGCAAGAGTTTGTGCCACCGCTGCCCCGAGAGCCAGTGTTGCATTCACCTGAGCCGCCCACGCCTGTAGCGGCCACTCCAGGGCAGCAAGCAGAAACTCCGATGCAAGTTGAAACGGCCTCGCCACTTGTGTCGTTCGATGATGGGCCTGGGATTGCTTCTTCGTCCTCTGGGATAGCACGTCCTGCGACTGAGGAAGCAGGCGGGGAAGCTCCAGCCCGAAAGAAACTTCGTCTTGATGCTGTTCAGACAAGTGCATATGACTGTGAGATGTTCCATCATGATGAGGCTCCAGAGCTTCTTGATGAAAGTGCAGAGCAGTTTCTTGACTGTCAGGATGAGTCCATTTGGGACACCGAGGATTGGGCTGATGACTCAGCCAATGCACCTGACATCCCGAGTATTTTGATTAAGCCTTTCAGTGAAACTGAGCCAGTGTGCGATGCATCCGAGCTCGAAGCCATTGATGCTGCAGCAGATTCCTTTGAGCTTGAGCAGTTGACAAAAGCCGGTGTTCTTGAACAAAGTGAGTCCTGGCTTGAAGGGCATCGGACATTGTCTTCAAAGTACGTTCGCACCTGGAGGCCTAAAGTGATCAATCAGGAGCGCGTTTGGTTGCGCAGAGCCAGGTTGGTTGCGCGCGAATTTGCGCATCTAGATCCGGGCAGGCAACACTTGTTTGCACCGACGACGACCCAGTGCATGCTGAGAATTGTTCCATCGCTTTTCATTCGCAACTTTGGGGACGGTTGGTCTCTACTGAGTCTTGATGTGTCTGACGCTTTCTTGCAGTGCAAGCAACAGCATGATACCTTGACAAAAGTTGATGGAAAATGGTATAAACTTTTCCGAATGCTGCCTGGGCAACGGGACGGATCTGCTACCTGGTTTCAAGATTTTATGTGTGAAATCCGCGCAGCTGTTGCTGCTGAGCCATTGGCAGAGCAGCCAGTGTTGTTTCGCATCCCACATGCGGAAGGCAACCACAAGTGCCAAGGAGGTGGAATGGTGCATGTAGACGACATGCTTGCGGCAGGATTGACCGCACGCCTTCAGGAGCTTGAGAATCACTTGAAGTCAAAGTTCAAAGTGTCCAGTGAATGGATCCGCCAAGTCGGCGACGAGGTTTCCTTCTTGAAGCGGCGACTGATCCTAGTCAGCCCCAATTTGCTGGTTGTTGAGCCTGATATCAAATATCTTGAGAAACTCTTGAAGATCACTGGACTAGATGGTGCCAAGGAGCGGTACAAGGCGGCCCCGTTCCCGACTGGAGGCCTGCCGACAGACCTTTCATCGGACCGCGAGCTGAACTCAGAGTCAGCATCAAAGTATCGCTCAGCACTTGGTATCTTAATGTACCTTGCTTCTGACCTGTTGGCGTGTCAATTTGGGATTCGGTTCTTGTCCACACATGCTCACAAGCCTACCGAAGGCTGCTGGAAGTTACTGAGGCATCTGACTGCCTATGTGAATTGCCATAAGTCACATGTGCTTTGTTTGGCAAAACCCCAGCTTGGGCAAGGACTGATCTGCAATCGCGTGTCTGAGCAGAAAACTTCTACCCTCGAAATGTTCTCAGACAGTGACTGGTCCGGGGATAAGAAGACGCGCAAGTCCGTATCTGCATGTTGCATTCTTTGGGACGGGCAGCTGCTCCACTCGAGTAGCCAAACACAGAAAGTGATCAGTCTTTCTTCGTGCGAGGCTGAGTACAACTCCCTGGTTGCTGGTGCGGCAACTGCCATCCTCCTTAAGAATTGCGTCATACACTTGTGCCCGGAACTGCATATTGCATTAACATGCTTGTGTGACAATGCAGCAGCTAGGTCGCTTGGGAATCGCCAAGGAGTCGGACGGACTCGCCACATCGACGGAAAGCTGTTGTGGCTTCAGCAGATGACTCAGGAAAAGATGCTGGACATTTCACCGGTTGGAACCGCAGAGAATGTTGGTGACCTTCCCACGAAGCCGCTAAAGCCAGAGAGAGTTGAGTTCATCCTTGCACGGTTGAATGTTCGTGACAAGGATTGCGGCTATGCCTTGGTTGGGAACGCCCATTTGCTTGATCACAGGACGCGACATCATGTGAGTCGCATTGTGAAGCGAGGAGCAGTCAACCCACAGCTTGTGCTTCAGATCCTTGCATTGGCTTTGCAAGCAGATTCTGTCGCCAGTGCCGATGATGAGCCCAATACGCATCGCGATGACGCCTTGAGCCAGGGGACTGGCGAGCACGGTTACGGGGAGATGTTTTGGAATTTTCTTGAACAGTTGCTGTATGCGATTTTCTTGATTGCTGATTTTCTTGCAGAGCATCCCATGCCGAGTTCCCGAAAGCATCGCGAAGGGTTCTTCCGTGTGGAACGCCGCAGCTGAGTACATAGATGACAGACATAGAATCAACTTACTTGATTCCATACTTTACTCTACACTCTACACTTGATACTTGACTCTACACTTGATACTTACTTACTTACTTGACCCTTATGACTGACTCTCTACACTTGACACTTGACTCTATGATACTTGACTCTACACTTGATACTTGACTCTATGTTATGCTTACGACTTACTTACTTACTTACTTACTTCAATCTACTTACTAACTTACTTGACACTTGACACTTGACACTGACTCTATGTTATGCTATCTCTATACTTACTTACTTACTTACTTGACTTGCTTACTTATACTTACTATACTTACTATACTTACTATACTTACTACTTACTGACTTACTTACTGACTCTACTTACTTACTTATCTACTTACTTACTTATGATTACTTACTTATGACTGACTCTCTATGCATCTATGACTTACTATGACTTATGACTTACTCTCTACATCTCGGTATCTTAATATTTCTTAATATTGGCGGGGGTGGCACCGTCGGGGTCCATCGGGAATGCAACCCTTCCCAGGGATTCGCTGCCTCGGGCGTTCAAACGCTAGGTAAAGTGACACATTTTAGGCGCCCGGCGCAACCCTTCCCAGGGATTCGCTGCCTCGGGCGTTCAAACGCTAGGTATAAGTGACACATTTTAGGCGCCCGGCGCAACCTTCCGGGATCCGGCCTCGGGGTTCAAAGCTGGGTAAAGGACACATTGAGGCGCACCCGTTCCAGGGATTCGCTGCCTCGGGCGTTCAAACGCTAGGTAAAGTGACACATTTTAGGCGCACCGCGCAACCCTTCCCAGGGATTCGCTGCCTCGGGCGTTCAAACGCTAGGTAAAGTTACACATTTTAGGCGCCCGGCGCAACCCTTCAAAGGGATTCGCTGCTTCGGGCGTTCAAACGCGAGGTAAAGTTACACATTTTAGGTGCCCGGCGCAACCCTTCACAGGGATTCGCCTCCTCGGGCGTTCAAACGCGAGGTAAAGTTACACATTTTAGGCGGCCAGCGCAACCCTTCACAGGGATTCGCCTCCTCGGGCGTTCAAACGCGAGGTAAAGTTAAATATTTTGCGGTTCCCGCGCAACCCTTCACAGGGTGGGTTGCCGGTCACTTTTTTTGCAAATGATCTTACAGGGTTTGAATTTTGCCACCCCTCACAGGGATTTGGCGTGTCGGGTGTTGCCCGCGAGGTAAGTTTGCCTTTTTTGATTTTTGCATGCCCGGCATTTTTTGCACCTTCCCAAGGATTGCGTGGTGGAGTGTTCGGAACGCGAGGTAAAGTTGCAATTTTTGATGAGAATCTTGAATAAACAAAAAAATGAAATTTTGGCAACCCTTCACAAGGAATTATGCTGGCGTGGCGGTGTGTTTCGAACGCGAGGTAAGGTGCATTTTTTTGATGTGATTGAAGCTGAATTGCAACCTTCACCGGGAATATGGCGTGGTCGAGTGTTCGAACGCGAGGGTAAAGTTGCAATTGTTGGATGAGCATGAGATGCTTTTGCCACCCTCACCAGGGAGTGGCGTGTCGAGTGTTCGAACGCGAGGTAAAGTTGCATTTTTTTTTTTTTTTTTAGATGAATTTTGCAACCCTTCACACAGATTGGCGTTGTCGAGTGTTCGAGCGCGAGGTGAAGTTACACATTTTGGTGCATGGTACATAGATGACTCCATGACTCTGTGACTCTATCTCACTATGACTCTATGACGCTATCTCACTGCAACTCTATGACTTTATGACTCATGACTCATGGACTCTATGACTCTTGACTGTATCTGCATCTCGAGGTCCAGGTCAGGCTATGAGCCCTCACGCTATGGGGATCTCGATTAAGCGTTCCCACACATAGAGCATAGAGTGAACTACATCGGGTCAAGTGCATGGTACATAGATGACTCCATGACTCTGTGACTCTATCTCACTATGACTCTATGACGCTATCTCACTGTAACTCTATGACTTTATGACTCATGACTCATGGACTCTATGACTCTTGACTCTGTGACTTTACGATCCTATACACTGGATCTATCACATAGCCCCACAATCTTCGCTGATGATGCTTTCGGGCCAATTGTCTTCTAGTTTTATCGTGAGCCAATGCGTTATCATTGCAGTGCTGTGTGGTATCTTCTTGTGCCGTGGAAACAGGCCAGAAAGGTTGCATGAGAAGGCAAGTGAGGCAGCTGCGTGCAGCGATGGCAGCGCGCCGCAGGTGATGCCGGGTGTGTGCGTCAATGTGACAGTCGAGGGAGCCAAAGTTTCGGTTGATAGTGTAGTCCCGAAACCTGCCGAAAACCCTAATCCTTGCGCCTTGGCTAGCCCTAAGAGTAGTGCCGGGCCGTGCAGTGCGAGTGTGCTTGGACAGAGCAGCGGCGGAGCTGCTGATGACCATGATGCTCCCGACCCGACAGCGCGATCATCCAATGGACCTGCGGTGCAGCCAAAAGCGCCGGTGCAGCCGAAAGCACCGAACCCAGCAGTCGCATATGCATCTGTACTTGACCAGCGTATCAGAGATGAGCTTGATCAGCAGATAGTGTGGGTGACTAAGTCGCGTGGTTATGCATACCATGGCCGCCGGAGTTGCGGCAACTTGCATAATGCCAAAGCACTTGAGCGCCTTACGCGTGGAGAGGCAGTGCGCCGAGGCTTTAAGCCATGCAAAGCTTGCTACGGTGGCTGACTTGTTATAATGCTCTTGATGCGCCAATCCTTGAGTGTGCTGCTTCGGGCAGTGCACTGATCGGTTGGATTCTTGTACAAAGGCTGCTGGGATGATTGTACATAGTCTTGTGTTTGAGCAAAACATGACAGGACTTCGAAACAGCATTTTGCTGTCAATCTCGATTCACTTACGAACTACTTTGGCAGCTGTGGAGCAGCTGCGAGTCCGAAGGAGTAGGCTCACGAGCCACTCGATGCAATTAGGCATCTCAATCCTTGTGCTGATCCCTTAGGATGCTTCAACGTGGCGTGGCAGCTGCGAGCTGCACTGATGCCACATGCGCCTACGCTTGGGTGAGTCAAGCTATCGTCTCGTGGGCGACGCACGCCCTCAGAGACGGTGTAACCTAGTCGTAGATGTACAGTTCTACGTAGTCGAACAACGTATCGAGCCAACGACCTTTTGGGGCAGTGCTCATGAAAAGTAGTCTGTGAGTCGAGTGCAATCTTGAACTAAGCAAGCTGTTGTTTCGTACGGGGTGAGGCAAACTAGATTATGCCGAAGACTTCAACCTGCGAGCTCAATGAAGCTTCGTAGGCGGGGTGTTTATTATTTTGCCTCCTAGGAAACCCCATGCATTTTATCATGATTTACTTTATCGTATTTCATGCACTCATGTGTTTCACATCGTGATTGCGCTATACTCCGCAGGCGTCTTTGAGGATTCAAAACATTTTCATTCAGTGTGCCGTTTCGCTTAACCTTGCAGCTCAGTTCGGTGTTCCTAAACCTTTCAGCTTACTGTGCGACTCAAGTTTTGCGACCTTTAACTTTTGCAGCTGTTTGGTCCAAGTCGTTCGGCTCAAGAGAAACTTCATTCTTGAGCATCCGGAAGATCTTGGCCGTGTGCCGTCTGGTGAGAGGCCCGCTTCTATTTGGTCCTTTGATGAGGTTCGTCAGATTTGCGCTGAAGGCGATGTCAGTTGCTGGGCTTTGCACCAATGCTTTTTCGGGGCTGTGTCGTGCAAACCTACACGCTTGCTCTCCAACTTGCCGGGGGCACTGCACTTTGGGATGCGGCTGCCATGTGTCAATGATGATGGAGATTACGCGGGACCGCTCTTACGGTGCCCGCATGCACATGCAGACCGAGCTTGCGGTTTTCAGGATGGCGCTTGGAAATCGGCCACCACGGCGGCATATCCTTCGGATTTCGCTGCTTTCTTCGCACGTCTTTCCTTGAGTGCTGTTTCTGAATTGAGGGCCGTGGCCGATTCCGATTTGATCCCGATCAACATTCCTTCTTCGGCGGAGGCCTTTGCCACGGAGTGTATTGCGCGCGGTGCTTTTGATCGCGCCTCTGTTCAGATTCTTTTCGACTTACTTCCCAAGACTCGGCCCCACAAAGTCACAGGCAGCGCCGAACCTGGCACCGCTTTCTTTGGAGGTACTATGCATCAGGAGGGTGTCACTGCACCGCGATCCACTTGTTACACATTCCCCGAAGCCATGCGTGTGATCAATGCTTTCCTTCGTTCGGTGGACCCGTGCCATCATTATGCCGCCTTTGTTCTCACAAAGAACGTCAGCAGTGAGGTTCATCGTGATCCGCGGAACGCGGCAGTGCCCAACATGATTGATTGTGGCGATTTCTTCATTTTCGAATGGTGGTATTTGGATTCAGGATCCTTCCGGTACCACAGTGCGCTCCTTTCATGGCTCGCCCGTCACGGGCACTGTGCACTCTTTACAGGACGGTCCGGTCTACTTGGATGCCCGCGGGTGCTTGCATGCAACCCAGCCTTGGACTGGAGATCGGCTCATCGCCATTGCATATACCCCTCAGCACTTGCAGCTACTTTCTGCCGAGGACTCTGCTTTTCTGGCTTCACTGGGCTTTCCTGTCTTGGATTCCTCTCCTGCGGGGGGGGAGGCTCAAGCGGAATCCTTCGATGCCCCAGGCAAATCCACCTTGGCCGCGCGCGGCAGTGGCGGGGATGGACAAGTCAGGGGCCGGAGGTGCCCAGGAGGTGCCAGTGGGGGTCGACCATGCAGCCAGGGAAGCGTTTGACCCCAAGACCAGTCGCGCTTTCGGGCAACCCATGCAGGAGTTTGTGGACGGCTTTGGGCTGTGCTCGCCTGGCCGTTGGGCTCCTGAGGCGAGGGAAAAGCTGGCATCGAGTGATGAAGTCGCACATGCTGAGAAAATTCGTGGACTGCTAAGACTGCTAAGAGATTTTGTGATTGATCAGCTGAAGGATCCCAAGGACATGGCTTTTCGGCTTGCGACGGGCCATGTGAAGAAGTCTCCATTCGCGCAGTCGGCATTGCAGAAGCTGAGGCAGAGAATCGTCGACATCATCCCGGGGGCGACTTCGGACCTGCTGCGTGTGCCAGAGCGACAGCCTTTCCACCTGTACTTCCTGGCTGAGTCGCTGAGGCTACTTGGTGACCCCGACTGGAAGATACTTGTACAAGGGGAGGAGTGTTATGCCGAGGGGATGCCGGTGGGTTTCGACTCACCACTGCCGACGGCACCACAGGTGTTCCGGCCGAGGGACCGTTTCCGCAAGCTTGATGAGAGTGAGTTTGAACCGCAGATGCAGAATTACACTTCAGCTGAACTGTCATCGGATAAGCTCGAGGAGCACTTCAGGGCTGAGGAGCGGGAAGGCTTGATGGTTGCGACGACTGAAGGAGCCGTGAAGGCGGAGTACGGCGAGGGGCGACTCCTGGTGGCCGCCATGGGCGCCATTCTTAAACCGAGTGGCGACGTCCGCCCTCTCCACGACGCCACCCACGGCGTCCGCTTGAACAATGGGATCGTTATTGCCGATAAACTCGAAGTACCTGGACCTGCAGAAATCATCGAGACCCTTTTCCATTGCGGCGGACATTGCTAAAGCACACAGGAGATCCAAAATACGACGACGCGACTGGCCCTTGTTGGGCTGCCGGACTTCGTCGGCGTCCAAAATGATTTGGCTTAATTGCGTAGGAACATTCGGAGTAAGTTCAGCTGCAATCCTTTGGGCCAGATTGTTCGGATGCATTGGACGTTGGGTCTTGAGAGTGATGGGACGGCTCTGGAATGTGCAGATTGTGTACGTTGATGACCTCCATATCGTGGTGACTGGTCCCGACAAATACATGGTGCTCTGGATGATCCTTGCTGCTTACGAGGTGCTTGGCACGCCGTTTTCTTACCGGAAGTTTCACGGTGGTGTCGAGTGTGAGTTCGTGGGCTACTGGCTTTCATACCGGGAGAGTGCTGCTGGGATTTCGCTCAAGAGGACGCGCTGGGTCCTTGACTGGATCGACAATGCCGAGGCGAACAACTGGTTCACCACAGGTCGGCGCTTCGCGGAATTCCTTGGACGGCTCAACTTCGTTTCCAGAGTGTTGACATGGGTCAAGCCTTTCCTTGCACCGCTGTATGCTTTCGATGCCGTCTTGCAGAAGGGGACTGTGGCGAGGATCCCGGAGATGGTCTTCGTGTCGCTTGTTTATATCAGGGAACAGCTTGCGGAGTCC